GCGTACATGTAAACCCCGCTACAGCCTTTAAACTCTTATATAATCTAGCTAGCTAGACAGGAAGCCAGGGGCCTCCCCCCTGGCGTCTTTTGCCCCAACGGGGACTGAAGGGCACGTGACTTGCGTACGTGCCCGCCTAGACTTTAAATAGACACACACACACACACTCTAAGCATCCCTATTTGCTATAACTATCCTGATGTGCCTGTCCTGTCGGAACGCCGTCTGGACTAACTCATCACATGACGCGGGGCATGCCCTTTAGCACGTGATTCGTGACACTAAACTATTTAATAATATTATTAGTTAGCTAGTAAATAGGAGCTCTTTCTTATATAATATTATATAAAGTAAGAGAGACTTAAAATTCCCTAGACTTATCTTTAACGTAAATACTATAGTCTTATAGTACTATTTAAAGTTATCTAAGATTTCTTATATATACTATCTTAAAATTTTATAGAGTCTACATCTTAAAGTCTTCTTCAAATTAATAATATAAATTATAGTTATTAAGTAATTTATCCTTATAGTAACTTATAGGATACTTTCTCTCCTAGTAATCCTTATAGTATAAGTTATAGTAATAACTTATATTTACTTAATAATATCTTATACTTCTTAAAGTCTAAAAGGTATAGTAGAATTTATAGGATATTATTAGGTAGAACTCTCTTGTCACGAATCACGTGTTAGCATGTGACGAGTTAGTCCAGACGGCGTTCTGACAAGACAGATACATCCAGAGTAGTTATAGCATAACAGTGGTTACTCAGGGTTGTTGAGTATCCAAGGATTTCATAACATTCATAGTCACGTGATAAAAGCGCGACAGCGCGACAAGCGAGTTGTCGGCATTTGGGATTTGGAGAACGAAGGTTCTATATAAGACTGGCACGTCTGCCATTAGATAGGAGCTTCGTGCTCAACTTAGTTATCGATCTTATCATATTAGTTTGACATCTTTGATACAAGTAACGAGTTCACTTCCATGTGAACAACCCGATAGTCTTCTTCTTATCATAGCATACCAACCAGCGAACACCCAGCCAAGTTTAGTTAGCCAGTTTGAGTATTCGTTACATGAACAACCCGATAGTCTTCTTCTTATCATAGCATACCAACCAGCGAACACCCAGCCAAGTTTAGTTAGCCAGTTTGAGTATTCGTTACACAAAGGGTTTAGTAGTAGTATTAGTACCTGTTTTATAATAGAATAGGCGAATATAGAACTATATTTTAAAGTTAAATTTGAATTAGCTTTTAGTATTAGTTTTATAATAGAACTAACAAAAGTAGAACTAGGTATTATAAAGGTTATAAGGCAAAGTATTAATAGAAGTTTACGCTTAATACCTTAATATCTAGCTATAGTAAATTCGTGCTATAGCTATAGTAAATATACTATCTTTTAATATATCTAGACTTAATAGATTTATATTAATAACTATTCTAGATCTTATAGTTTAGAGTATATAAATTATAATAAATTCGTATTATAAATCTAGGAGCTACTATAGTATATAATTCTAGTACTTTTAAGGTCTAGGACTTAATAAATTCGTATTAATAGCTAATCTAAGAGCTCTTTAAGCACATATTATATTAGTATTAGTTCTACCTCTAAATACCTAGCTAATAATAAATTCGTATTAAAATCCTAGGGGCATAAGGTAGAACCTCTACTACTATAATAGCTTTAATATCTAGCGTTAAGGAATCGAAGTTGTCTAATCTATATATACGCTTATACTAATTAGTATGAGTTTAACTCTAAGTTAATAGAGCCGAAAAGATAATAAGGAAAGTATAATATAAGGCTAATAGTTTAATATTAAATATATTATATTATAAAGACTATTAGTTATATATACCGAGTAAAGGTGTTATAAGTACTACTACTATTATATAGTAGTACTTAGTGCCAAGTACGGCACATAAGTGGCCTTGAGTAGTATTCACTTATACCGACATGTTCCTTAGTAAATCGTCTGGTAAATCCGCTATATATATATTATAGTAGAGGCTACTCTCTTATCAAAATTCTAAATAGTACAAGTTAGAGCTAGTATCTGTCTTATTTAAAATTATTAATACTAGAGTATATAGACTACTCGTTAGTTTATTATAATTTAGTAAACTAGGGTGTTTTTAGTGTGTTTTCGGCCAAAATCTAGGGCTCCGCACGGAATTCTGACGCCCCCTGGTGAAATGATAGAAATACCAATGGAGTCTCAAAATATTCGAGACTTTTAACTAGAAAGTCTTATTATATACTGAATACAGTAAAACCGTGGCCAGTATTCACTTGTTATAAGAAACGTACCTTGAATTGTAACGTACATCGAATCGTCAGTCTCATCAATAGGAGACCGAATGGATAACCGTGATGTGATTGTCCTGATCGCCATCAGGTTATAGTAGAGAGTAGTATAAATCAAGGCTTGAAGCCTCGGTAGCATAGTCTTGAGATCTCTTCAAATGAAAGTTGATGCTTGAAAGCTGACCATCGACAGTTGCCGAGGAGGCATAGGAATACGAACATTTTGAAATGCGTATTCTCTTTGGAACAAACTTGAATTATTATTCAACGAAAGACTCTCCTACGAATAGTCGACTATTTCATGTAAGAGTGGTGAGGTTTCCTAGGAATCCATACAGTAGCAAACGAGATACAGTTGTAATTCTCTTCTCAGGCGAAAGGAATCAATGAAACCCCACTAACACACACATGAAGGGTGGGGCTTTTCGCAATGTGGATTTGAACAGCAACGCCTCCACTTCAACAGTTGAAAGGCAATGTAGTAGTAACTAATATCGTAGAGTAACCGTCAAATCAGTTGAAGAATTCGGCAACTTCTTTTGAAGAAGTTTTATTTCTAGCAGCTATCAGAAGACATTTCTCTTGAAACTTTCGCTGCGTCGTTGCCCCCTGTAACACCTCGGTACATTCACATACGATTCGGATAATCCTAGCAGCGATCTTCTCCTCACTCCTGGAGTCTATGTAGCGGGGCAAAGAATGAAAAACTCCTCGCCTTCTATCATAAACTTACGCCGTAATTCTCCTCAAAAGCCCACTCAGTCATGACCATTAGAGCAACACCCATAGTAGTAGGTGTAGGCGAAACTAAAAATTGCTCCCAAAAAGTCTCGGATGCCATCGAACCCCTCGTGTTAATCCTGCAGTCGATTCATGAAGCTCTCAAAGATACCTCCCTATCAGATTCGGAAAGGGGAAAGCTACAGGCAGAAATCGACGGCATCTCGGTCGTAGCGCCCTGGACATGGAACTATTACGACCTTCCAGGTCTCATTGCCAGAAAATTAGGGGTTGAGCCTAGTTACAAGACGATTAGTGAACATAATGGTGCTTCACCCGCACGTCTGTTCGACGAAGCTGCACGCAGAATTTCATTTGGGGAATGCAAAGTGGCAGTTGTGACTGGTGGCGAGGCAATGGCATCTCGTGAGTAAACTTCCATTTATAGACCATTTAGAGAGTGATGGCTGAGTTGAGTAGTGATGGCTTGTGCTGCTGCAGGGAAGATGCCACCTCCTGGGTGGGAAGAGGCAGATGAAGACGCAGAGGGTATAGCAGGCTCCTCGACTTTCAGAAAGGCGCATAGTAAGTGTCAAATAATTTCGGGCAAAAGTTGTTCTAATTGAATAGATATCGGAAACACGCACGGAATTGGGTTACCAATTCAAGTATATCCATTATATGAGAACGCTTTTCGAGCCCATCGTAATCAGACGATTCGCGAGAACAACAAAGAGTCGGCAAAGCTCTACGCGGAATTTGCTAAAGTCGCCGAGAAACATCCCATGGCTTGGAATTATGGCCAACCAGCAGCAGACGAAGCAAGTATCGGGACTGTGTCGAAAAAGAATAGGATGATTTGCTTTCCATGTTAGTTTCCCTCTCCCTTTTCCTCTTACTTTTGCTGAATTGAGCACAGATCCATTGTTGATGAACGCATTTAATAACGTCAATGTTGCGGGTTCCTGTATTCTGACTTCGACGGAATATGCGAAAGAACTTGGGATTCCCGAAAATCAGTGGATTTATCCGCTGGGAGGTGCGGGAACCATTGACAGTGCTCATTGTAAGAGGCCTATCCCCAGGACCAACCGGATGATGCTGACTGAAGGTAGTCTGGGAAAGACCGAACTATTTCGCAAGTCCGGCGATCTCAAAGTCATTGGATGCGGGGCTAGAGGTCTCGGGACTGACGAAAGATGACATTGGAATTTTTGACTTCTATTCGTATGTTCCTTGAGAGCTTTAGAGATTGACATTTCAGTTGACTTTGGTAGATGCTTCCCCATCGTCCCAAAACTAGCATGTCAACACCTGGGATTTTCACCCTCAAAACCAGAGAAGCCCATTACCCTCCTAGGAGGCCTGACGTCTTTCGGCGGAGCGGGGAATAATTATTCCATGCATGTGAGTGTCACTATTTTGATAATGTAACATAGCGTGACTTTTCTGATTCCGGAAGGCACTAGCAGCGATGGTACGGGAATTGAGGAAAGGGAATGCTGAAAATGGACTGGTGCTTGCGAATGGTGGGGTTGTGACGTATCAGCATGTTGTTTGTCTTTCCACGAAGCCTAGAAAGACACCGTACCCAGACGAAAACCCGTTGCTAACTGAGGTTCCCGATGAGTCTCCTGCAATTGAAGAGCGACCAGAGGGCGAAGCGATAGTTGAGGTAATTCCCTTGTTCCCCAAAATAAATGGAAGAGAAGGTTGAAAAGAAGGAGTAACGGCGAGCTAATTCCTTTCCAGACATATACAGTTGACTTTAGCCGTGATGGAAAAGCGAAGCGAGGTTTCATAGTGGGAAAGTTATGTAAGAAAGGCCATCGGTTTCTGGCAAACGAAGAAGACAAAGCGACATTGCTACAGCTAGCAAGTGATGAAAGAGAACCTATTGGGAGAAAGGGATGGGTAAAGAGCGCAGGAAATGGAAAGGGGAGGAATCTGTTCTGCTTTGACGCAGCTGAGAAGTTGTGATTGATTTTGGAGATATAAGCATTATCATTTTATTATATTGTTAGGTGAAAGGGGATTAATTCAACCACTTAATGCTTGTAGCAAAATAAGCATACTGTAAGGAAGTTTATGGTGAGGCTTTTGTGGAACAAAGTCGGCCCGGAACATCCCAGGTCACATTCCAGACTAGGTTGGCAGCTTCACGGAAGTGGCCCACAAATAAGCCTCCACCTCTGGCAACAACAATGTGATCAATATTAAGCAGGCCCGATGCATCATCAAATAAAAAGAAAGCCCCGGTTGCATAGTGGTTATTGCGTGAGATTGCAGATCTCAAGGTCACCTGTTCGAATCAGGTTCGGGGCTGAAGTGGAAACCGTCTTTTTTTGGTGTTTTTTGTTTTGGCGGGGCGAGTGGATTTTACTGTATATACATACACACGTTAATGAAATAAGTTCGGATTGCGCAATCTAAAACATCTTTTGCATCTTGAATGGTGTGATGTGGGGTTGTGTGAAGCTGAGTCAGGTTACAGTACAGTACTGTAGGGCTTTTGAAGTGTGGGGTGAACTTGAGGGGTTTCCTCTTTTTACAAACCCCCCAACAGCGAATGTATACTCTCAGAAGTGTGTTTCTCTCGACATTGTCTCACTTGATCACTTGAGAGGATTTGGGATGCCAGATACTTGATGCTTTCCACATTTTCCTTCCCTTCCTCGTCAGTTCATGAAAGGTGTGCCATGTGCTTTTGTCACAGCATCGAAGCTTTACCGACTTCCGGAGCAACCATACTCCCAAACCTGATGTAAACTCGAATTAAGCTGGAAATGGACATAAGCGAGTACTCTCTCCTTTCTGCGTTCTGTGGCATGGAAAAGGGGTTTGTTTCGTAGCGCAGCGAATACAACCTCTACAAAGATGGTGCTGGGAGAGCGAGCGGAACGCCCCTATTACACGAAAACTGGCATGTTAAGCGGTTTGAAAACACCAAAACAGGGCTTGAGAAGCTTCAATGGGAGAAATACAAGTGCCATATGCGCACTCTTGAGTGGGAAGGTTGATGACTAAGCATTACAAGCGAGTGACCCAATGCTACATCCCAGGCCTTCCTCCGCGCATACATAATTTTGCTTTGAAGACCTTTTTCTTAGGCTACACTGCCATTCCTGCAGCTTGAGAAGAAAGTACAATTGCAAGCTCAACTTCCAAATTATTGACTGCGGCTTGGTTGGTTCAGACACTTGAGCCTCCCAACTTTGCCTAGGCTAGGTACCCCGCTTCCCCAAGAAAACAATTTCTCGTACCACGTATGATCTCCACTTCCCACGATACAACCAATGATAATGGATATCACCCCAAAAGTTAGTCGGCCCGTTGCGTTTGTTCGCCTGCTGCGCAAGGTCGTTTTGCTTAGTTTGACAGAACTCGTACATTCCCGTCAATATTTTGCTGCGGCAGAAGAATTAATGTTACTATAAAACCATGTGCTCTTCGTACTGAAGTCTCCCGCCTTCTACCTTCCTCCCTTCTGTTCCTGTTCTTGTCGGAAATATGCAATTCTTATCATTCTCGGTGGTTGTGTTTTTGTTATGCTCTCAAGCGATAGCAAGAAAAGTCCAAAGGAGAGATTTGGGTTGATACTTAGACTCCGAAAGAGCAATTGCACTCCAAGGTGTCCTGAATAACATCGGTCCAAATGGCTCTCAAGTTCCTGGAGCCGCGGCCGGTATCATCATCGCTAGCCCTTCAAGAGAAAACCCAGATTGTAAGTACCTAAGCGCATTACAAAGTAACCACAGCGTTGATTCTTCGTAGACTTCTTCACTTAGAGTCAAGATTCTGCTTTGACCATGAAAATGATCGTCGATGAATTCATCCTGGGCAACATCACTTTGGAGCCGTTGATTGATGACTTTATAAAGTCCCAAGCTGTTCTCCAGACAATTTCAAATCCTTCTGGGACATTTAATCCATCTGGTCGTGGCCTTGGAGAACCTAAATACATGGCGGATGGATCTCGTTTTAACGGTGCTGTGAGCATATATTCATTCTTCTTCCCATAAGTTCATAAGCCACAAGTCTTCCTTCAATTTGAAGGAAAAAGCTGACCTACCGAAGTGGGGACGTCCTCAACGTGACGGACCAGCTCTCCGTGCAACAGCCTTGATCACATACAGCGACTGGCTAGTCAAGAACGGTCAATCCGAGAAAGCAAAAACAATCATCTGGCCTGTCATCCAACACGATCTTTCATATGTCGGCCAGTACTGGAATGCAACAGGTTTCGATCTTTGGGAAGAAGTCCAAGGTTCCAGCTTTTTCACTACTCTGAGCCAATACAAGTCCCTCGTAGAAGGAACAAAACTGGCACGAGACCTAGGAGTTACTTGCACATCGTGCTTCATAGCGCCCCAAATTCTCTGTCTCCTTCAAAACTATTGGAACGGTCAATACATTGACGCAAATATCAATTTGAACGACGGACGCTCAGGACTTGATAGCAACACGATTCTGGGTTCAATTTCTGCTTTTGATATTGATGCATATTGCGACAGCTCAACTTTCCAACCTTGTGGCAGTAAGTCATTGGCCAATTTCAAGGTTCTAGTAGATGGTTTCCGAATCTACACAATCAATAACGGGATTCCGGCTGGACAAGGAATTGCCATCGGAAGATACCCAGAAGATACATATTTCGGAGGTAACCCTTGGTATCTTAACGTAACCGCAGTGGCCGAGTTTCTTTACGACGCAGTTGCATAATGGAAAGCTCGTCATAATCTAGTCGTTGATGAGATCTCCTTACCATTCTTTCGAGAGATCTACCCAGATGTAACGATCCGACAATATAATAGCGGGAACGAAAATAGCCCCTTCTCTCAAATCATGGACGCTGTCACTGCGTATGCGGATTCATTCGTCGCCAGAGCCGAGAAATACACACCACGAAACGGCGCACTAGCTGAACAAATCGACCGCAACAATGGCACTCCTCTCTCTGCTCGAGATCTAACCTGGTCATACGCCGCCTTTATTACCATGGCTGAGCGCCGGGCGGGTCAGTATCCACAATCTTGGTACACACGAGAAGCCGATCCTCTCCCAGCACCATCTAACTGCACAGTATCATCTTACAGCGGCACTTACATCCCAGCTGTAGCAGCCGGCGCACCTAACACCACAAACGAATGCCAAATCAACATCCTTATGAACGTGAATGCTACGACCTACTACGGTGAGAACATCTACATCGTCGGGAACACTACAGAGCTCGGAGATTGGGATGTGAATAAAGCACTTCCTTTGAATCCAGGGGGCTACTCGGATCAGAGACCGCTGTGGACTCTCGATACGTATTTTGAGGCTGGGGAGGATGTGGATTTCAAGTTTGTAAGACAGGAAGACTGTGGACAACCTTGGATTTATGAGAGGAATAACCGTACTATTGGTGTAGGCCCGTGTGGGACTGCGGCAGGCGTTTTTGAGCTCGCTTAGGATGGCCCAACGGGGACACCTGGGGGTTGTTAGAGGCTGAAGTAGCTTTACGCACTTGTTATAGTCTCTAGGTACATGTATTGAAAATGCACCCATCTCTAGGTACATGTATTGAAAATGCACCCATCTCTATTTTATCTCTTGAGAATACAGGTTCTGAAAGTCTACCTTATGGCCTTGATGCTCTCTCGTGTTTGGATTCCAGAACAGATAACTCGGTACACCAAAAATATTACACACTTACATACTTCCACTGTATAGTGTTGTTGTCTTATACATAATCACTTGTAATTATATCCTACGACTCCCTTCCGAGCCTTCCGGCCAGCCACTTTTTCCTCCCAGAACGAAGCCAGAAGACGTCGTACTTGGTCTCTCCCTGGGCACTAAATGGCGGCGGTAAATCTTCAAATGGGTCCCTTTTCACTGCGGTTTTATACCAAAAGGCTGCATTCCCTCTCTCGGGCACGTAGACCTCGTTAGAATTCCAATTGATTAATAATGCTTAGTGTTTTCATGTTAGTATTCATATTACTAAAAAAGGTGCAGGAGAGAATGGGGCTCGTGTTTTGCTTACCCCAAACAAACAATGCATAGTTTTCAGAATTATGAATCGCATACTTTGAGCCATATTTTAGCTGGGGTAGAAGGAGAGTATTTCTCTCGCCGTAGACTGAAGCTGCTTCCAACTTCTCCTTATCCATGTTGTCCATATGTTCAGAAAGCCATTTCTAGGGGTTGATTAGCCCTAATACAAGAGATACAAAACAAACAGGATTAATCTACCTTTTCCCCTCTACCTGCCGCAGATGCAAGGTCAACGTCTATGATCTGTCCCCCGTCAAATGGACCTTCATAAACTATCATAAATGTCAATCTTCACTTTCCGTGTCCTAGTGTAAAGAAGTGAACAGAGTCAAACGTACTTTTGCTCCATAAAGAGTCCCAAAAAGCCGTCTTGGGTAGTACACGCGGATACCCTATATCTACATCCCCAACAAAATGCATCAACTCATGTAGAAGAATAAACTGTTTTGAATATTTGAATTCTTGGAGTTGGCCTTTAAATGTCTTAGCGGGGTTTCCGTCGAAAACATCATAAAGATTCGCAAAATATGGATATAACGTTATGGTCGGCGGATCTTTGAAGCCATTGTACGTTGCCCATGATTGGACAGAAATTCCATCTGGACTTGTTCCTGTAGGGATCTCGCCTCCTTCTTCTGTTGCCTTCGGGTACGCGACAATATGCAACTCAGTCCTCTCAAAAAGGGTTGTGCGTTTAATATCCACCAGGCGAGAGAAGACCTCTACAGGTTATAGACCAATTAGTCCTATGGAGATAGAGAAGAAGAGTAAAGAGACATACTCATAACATTTGGGTGATATTTTGGATCTCCGAAGAATTGTATAAATGTAGCATCATTTTCTTGCACGTTTTTAACAATATATTTAGATAATGTAATGATTTGGTCAATATAATTGGACATGTCCTGTTCAGTTATAGGCTTGTGAGGTGGCTCGGTTGGAAATGGAAAGTCTTTATATTGGATATCCCATCTTTTAGAGAGGGAATGGGTGCTAGGAGGTTCGAGAGGTTGCGGGATTCTAATCTTCAACGAGAGGGATGTGTAAACTTGGAGGAGACATAAAATGACTTGAATGAGCTTCATTGTAACGATATGTGCTGCCACCAGAAACGTGAACTTTTGTTTAGGGTGGGGAGAGGAAAATGTAGTTCTTAACTATGCCAAACTTTTGGAATCCTAGCATATTACTTAAAGCCGCTCCTGTAAGGCAGCTCTAAAAGTGCACGGGGTAACCAAGTACATAAAGTACTTCATTTATTAATTCGCAGACTGTGAAATTAGCTCACGGGGATACAGCGGTTAACCTTGTCGCTTAACGTCAAGGGCTTGTACCTTCCGTACGATAGCAACAACAAAAAAGAAATTGCGCCAAAAGGAGATAAATATAAAGCTGTACTCAAGGATGTTTACGGTTTCTAAACGAACTGTTCTAGTAATTGTTTGCTCGAGTAATAGAAATTTAAAATTTGTAGGCAGAGGGGGTACTGTAGAAGGAGCAAGGGTAACAATACTTGGCCGCTGTACCTTCGTAAGACGATTCCTGTGAATGTGATATCAATGTGTCCACTAAGTCATCCACTGTCCCAAGGTACATACATAATTTCATCAATTATATTATACGTGTATACTTATTCCAAGTCTAGCCCTTTAGCTTCGCATAACACGTAGAATATCAATCGAGTGCTTTGCAGTAGGCAACTCTGCGCAACCAGCGCTAGTACGCCTAGCATCTCATCAAAAGATCTTAGCGTAACATGCACTCTTATTACTTAATTTTTAAGCATCCGCATACTCTAAAAGTAATATCTTCACATAAGGATAAGGGCCTATTTGCAAGGCACGGGAATACTGGTTCATAATTTAATAATAGCGGCGCTTTAGTTGTAATGTCGCGAAGTGTTTGGAACTACTAGCTTAGTACCGCTGTGCTTGACAGGTGTTTTTCCCTTATTTTACGTTACTATCTATTTCAGGGTAGTAGATATCTACTTGTAGAAACACAATAGCAGTATCTAATGACTTTCCGATGACCGCGAGAATATTAGTCGCAATAAGGAACTGTGAAGGTCAGATAAAAAGTAAGAGTCTGTGTCATTGGTTTGAGAAATCAAACTGTTTGTTCCAGATTTCCGGATTTTATTGTCAGAAAGTCTGACTATGGTTTCCATCGTATGAATGCTGGCTCTTCTCCTACTGATTGGTTTCATTCAACTGGCTTCTAGCAAGTACTACAATAAACGAGGAGATAAGCTAGGGCGGTATATCCCTGTCTCCTGCTACATGTAGCTAGCTTCTCAGTCATCGGAGTTCAACTCTTTTCTCAGTAACCCTGGCACTCTTGGCATTATTCTGCTCAACAGATCTTTAGAAATATGAATCCCTGATACGTATACGAAGCGATGATGCGGTATATTTTATGATTATAGAATGCGAGGAGAGGGTTGATAAGCCTTTTTCACAATTCAGATTTTTATATACAGGAAAACCTCGATACAAGGATACACTTGGGGGCGGATTTCCTAAGGATATAACCGAGGTTATCCCTATAGCGAGGGTCTTGGCATAGTCGACGACAAGGTCGTATATTCAAGTACTAGGAATACATAGTATAGTAGCTAATACTATTAGTAGTATACGTATAAATTCCTTAATTACTATTACTAAAGTTCTATTTTATACCTGAAATGTATAGAATCTACTTAAAATTTAATAGGAGCACTAATATAAATACTAGAATCCTAGCCTTTAAGGATAAAAGTGGGGATATATTTAGTATAAAAAAATTCGGGACCGTAAAAACTAAGGATTATCCTTATATCGAGGATATCCTTAAATCCCTACCTAAAAAAGTCGGGACCTAGAATTTAAGGATATAATCGAGGATATCCTTATATCGAGGATCCTTGTATCGAGGTTTTCCTGTATGTCCTGGTCAGGAGCTAAAACTTACATTCCCCCTATGGAACGAGAATAGAAACCCAGAGTCACGTGATGTAAATAAACAGAAGTTGCCAGGATTGCTGTGACGATCATCCCTTTTACGATTCTACGCAACACTTTCAGAGTCATGGCAATTAAATTCAGAGTTATTGGAAAATCCTAAGAAGCAACCTTAGTATAACTATTCACTTCTCCATAGAGCATAAAGAAGAATAATTTTGCGCAATTGTCACTTCTTAGTACGATGCTGTTCCTAGATGAGGAAAATCGGAATATGTTGTTTTGCTGTCTTATAGTCATCACAGCAGTGATATCCTTCATAATTGAATCGCACATTCGTGTTTATTTTTTGGCCCAACACCTTACACTCAGCTCAGTAAGATGGTCTACACGCATAAAGAACAGATTATTCAATCTATCATCTATGGTCCCAACTATGAAGAAAGGGTTGAGGAGATGGTGTAAGGCGTTGAAATTCCAGGGTTAAATGAATAGAGAGACTATGAAAAGTTTAGTATAAATTTGAAGAGTTTGGATGAGACAAAAGCTGAGGGGTATTTGGAAGGCTGATGTTGATTGCATATAATTATGAATTGAGGTGGCGTAGTGTGATGGCTCAGCGTCATTGAAGCAAATAACAAATGTATGGTGTCCATTGTTGCGCTGTTCTATTGAGAATATCATGATTTATTGGAGAGTAGTCATAGCCATCCTAGTCTGACTCAACTCAAGTGTGGTTCAAGCAATCTTTTATGGCGATAAGATAGCACACAAGGCTTTGAAATTGAGACGTTGGGTTCCCAAACAACCAAAAGAAATTATATAAAGTTCCCCTTCTTGTATCCATAGTGGTGAAAAGGTCAATTCATGCTACGTTTTGCTCTTCTCGCTCACTTATCAGTAAATTTGAATAAACGATAACCACAAAAGCTCCAAATCTGAATCCATCGTGATGTCTTCACAAGACAGAAGCAAAAGCAACCAGACCAGTAACGGAGAAAAAGGAACTGGGTCACTTGGAATAAATACGCAGGGTATTACTAGCTATGGGGATGGATATAGTGGCCAGCACAATAGCAGCTCTGGTGGATCTTCGTCCCAAGGATCTAATTTGTGCAGTGGGAAATAGGCTGCAGACGAAAGACGGTAAAGATTGCAACAGACCAGTGCTCCCGTATTGTGCTAGTGATGAGATGTTGAAAGGGGTCCATGACGCTTGACTGGGTCAACGATGAGAAATATGTGCGTCACTGCTGTTATTAGGATGATAGGCAATCTGGGCGGGTGAGCCGTCGTCGCTGGTTTATGAGTTGAGTTATCTCACAGATTGTGTGTTAGGATGGCGTGCTAGGATGTGTAAGCTTGAGGGAATATTTGCCAGACTTCTAATGTGATTGGTTATCTATTTTCTAGCATACGATGCAAAATGATATTTCATCACTTTCTTTGGACTCAGAAAAAGGTCACTAGCCATTGAGTCATATTATTTTACATATCTTTACTCAAAGACATCAGGGTCTCACTCTAGCAAGCGTTACAAGGATCAATTCCGCCGTATGATGTGACTAAAGTCGAAATCTTTCCAAATTTTGAGTTGTAAGAAGAGATCATATACTTACTCTGCGTCTACTGTAATATTCAAAGTGTACTATTTGTGAGTAATCACTCGCTTAAATAGCCAGAGGACGGGAAAAAAGAGATACTGAGCTCCTCTTTCTCCCGTTGTTCCCCATTCTTGTGTTTCCTTTCATCTTTTGCTTTGTTTCTGTGCCAAATTTTTATAGCAAGTACCCGAAAGTTAGCTGCGTAATGCCATCGCCACAAAGAAATAACAGCAGTGAAGGTGCCAGTAAGAACTCAGGCACATGTTCCCTTCAGAGAGGCGGTAAAGCCTATCGTCCTGGGGAACATCTACTTGACATCGCCGTTAACTTAGGTAATTCTCTTGAAAGGTTCAAGAAGTTACAATGCGAAGACAGAGAGAATGTGATTATCCTTATGAGACCAGATGCCATCAAGGAGTTAAGGAAATGGTGTAAAGCATTGATAACGAAACATTACTCTGAAGAAGAATCCGTATGGATGGGCCAACGTAGAGTACTAGAGTTGTCGAAAAATTTCTTACTCTCTTTTCTTAGAAGTTCTTAAGAAGGACATTAGAACTATTGTTTACTTTGAGTTTGAGGCTGAGTCATAGATTGGAATTAGTCAATCTAGAACCCAATACTTCAATAATTTAATGACCTCAGCTTCTGGACAAGGTTAGTCAGTGCCTTCGTAGATTTTCGTAATTGCTGTCTTTCAAACTGGTGATTGGGTTGTTTTGCATTGTGACTTTCAACGGTTAATTAAGCGACTGTGGCACCATGACTGAGCAAAGATCTGATTCAAGTAGACTTTTCATCATCCAGTGACGTGTCCCCTAATTAATAATTCTTTTCTGCAGAAGTTGTCATGCACACGACCTTTTTAGTGGCAGGCTGAAAGGCCAACAGCGGTAGCGCACGACGTATAGACCTTAGCTTGCACCTATCAAAATTGAAGTATGTGACACAATCAAGCGACACTTTCTCCTATGGCTTTTGGTTGGTTTCAGTTGTAAAGCCCCACATAGAAGCCAGTAACAGACCATCATGAAACCGAAACTTAATATCTGTGAGAGCCTTAGTCATATAGACATGCATACCCAAGGGGGAGATATCTGGTCAAAATTCATTTTGAAAAACGATGAAGTTAAGAAGCTTTAAGTGTACTGGCTATGATCTAATTTATCCTTATTCGCAGGCACAACGGCTGGCGCATGCTACTGCATGATCTCTTGCCCCAGCAACTTAAATGTTCGAACTGTGGAACCTGGACAAACGGTACTCTAGGTGAAGAATATATGGATCCAAATGAGTGTATTAAATCCCAGCAACCCTATTTTGTGAGGCGAGAACAATATTTTCTCTCCCGAGGGCACGTAGTCGAAATAAACTAAGCGAAGAATGGTTCAGTTGAAGTCCGCTTTTTATACTTTCTATCTGCTACTGCTTTCTTAGATCAGTCATTCATGTCGTGTCGATTTGTTAGAAATTCATGAGACGTAGCCATTGTACCACACACACCCCAGTACACACACACCCCAGTAAGAATTGTAGTAAAGATTATTTATTGATATTCATATATATGCACAAGTAGGAAAAATATATACAGAAGAAAACGTATCCATCTACCAGCCCCACCACATTACTGCCACTCGTCGTTGCAAAAAACATAACCACATAAACACATACTAAGCGTACCATTAATCTGATATTTTCAAAAGCGGAAGTCAGCTAAAGTTTTATCCTGTGCCTCAAAATATCGTTCCTTTGAGCAACAGACACCAAATTCATTTAGCATGACAATCCCTCTGGAAGATCGTAGCTGTCAACTCGGGAGTTGTTGTCATTGGCGTTGGAAGATCTGCTAGCATTGGCTCCGAGACCACGCTTAGCAAAGGCCTTCCAGATGCTGCAAGCATTGGCACCACCGGTAAGGGCCACGTCGGCATCGACAATTGCATCACGAGCAGAGAGGAAGTTTGGACGGCAAGGTTGGCTAGGGAAACGTTAGTATTTAAGTCTCAAGTACGGAGTAGGTGTTTTAGAACTTACAGTTTCATGCCATCAACTACCAATTGCATAGCTAGGAATCTTCCATCATTTGGTACACCATTGACGTAAGTTGGTTGTCTATCGCTGTTGATACCATGGGCCTCAATCAAGTTCCACATCAACTCATAGAGCATAGTGGCCCAGATGGTGCCGATAAAGTGAACAAGGGTAGATCCGTTAGCAGTAGAGTAGACCAATGGGTTGGTGGTCATGGAAGTAGAGTAGACATATCTTCGGATTCCAGCGGGGTTGTTGTAGACCCAGTCGCCCATTGGAGTATTGGTGGCTCTGGTGTCAGTGGTCTTCACGTGGACGGCAACAGCCATGAAGTCACTCCAACCTTCACCCATTCCACCAGCCTCAGTGGTAGACAAGCATCCAGAGTTGGCTGGTCCTCCAGTAAGACGGTTAGAGAGACCGTGGGTGTACTCGTGAATGACAACACCAGCATCGAAGCTGCAGTCGCGTACTGGAGTGGCAGCATCCCAAAGGTACATGCGCATTCTTGGTACCTGACCATCAACAGGGGTTGCAAAGTTGGCGTTGTTTGTTCCAGATCCATCTTGGGAGTTCAAAGTGACGGCATCGTTTCCAGCACCACCTTGACCGTTGTTGTTCACTTCGAAATTTCCGGCTACTTCATCAAAGCCGAGAACGTAGAGCAAATCATGGTACACGTTTGAAGTGTAAAAGATCTGAGTGACGGAAGCATCAGCATACGATTGGGGATCGACAGTGCTGGGACTGTATGGGTAGTCGAAGTTTGCAGAAGCTTGAACAGGACGGTAATCGTTAATCCATGCAGTATCGCCCTCGTAGTTGACCTGAGCATTACCGTTGTTTCCTCTGGTGGTGTTGAAGGTAGTAGAGCCAGTTCCTTGCCAAGTGAACTCGGAGGATCTGTTATCCCAAGGGTCGGTCTCAATCACACGAGATCCTTTTGAAGGGTCGTTGACTCCCCATGGGCTATTGATAGTAAATTAGTAAGAATGCCAGAAGACTCGAGACATGGTACTTACTAAACGTTGTAAGTTGCCTCAGCGACGTAGTCAACGACATGGAAAACCTTCTCAGGGGCCTTGGCATCGACGAAAGAGAGTAACCAGTTGTCACCGATATCGGTCTCAAGTCTCCATGAGAGAGCGAGAGACTCTCCATCTTGAACGTAAATCAATTTCGCTTTGGGGTCTGAAAGTGCACCTGAAGATCCGGTGATAACATAGTGTTCAGTCTCCTCTTCTGGCACAGCTTGGGCTGCATCTGCTACCACTGGAATTTGGAGAGTGTTGCAAGCTGCTTGCAACGCTGCTACAGGATCGACTTGGTCTCGCTTAACCACTAAAGACTTTTAGCAAAGTAAACTCATTTAGGCCCCGATCAGGAAAGCTCCTTACATGGATTTTCTGTAGGAAGAGCCCCAGTATAGAATGAGTTTCCAAAAGAGAAAACCTGTCCATCCTTGACGTTGACGTTGAAATCAGCTGTGTCAATGTCGATACCGTGGAGAGTCTGCTTGAAAACAACATGTCCAATACCATTTCCTGATTCGTAGCTAGAGGCCAAACGGAACTCAGCATTTGGGGCGACCTTCTTCACCAAAGCAGTGGCCGTTTCAGTGTAAGCAGGCTCAACGATGGCTCTCAGCTCGGGAGTTGACTCAGTGAGGTTGAGGCTGGTAGCATATTGACTTCCGACTCCCAATCTGAACGCAGTAAGATCGACATCTCTTCTCTGGACTTCCTTGGGAGACTTGTTTGAGGTAGCAGGGTGAGGATGACCAAGAACTGGAGTGGACAATAAAGCCACGGCAGCGGTCTGGGCAGAGGTGAAACGCATCTTGAGGAAATTGAATTATTAGGTAGGACAGAAGAGTGCTGAGAAAAGCAATGTCTGAGATGGATATACCTCTCTTGTTGTATATTATATACACATTGTACCCAGTTTCCTATCTTGTCGGTGCTTGACAAGTAGATTTCTGAGCAAGTTCTGTACACCACTTGTGATAGTGTCCAAGTCATTTGAGTCAAGGAACTTCCTCATGAAGAACAGGCCAAGTGATAAACACCCCCAATCGACCTATCAAGGCTGACAAGCTTTCGGGATTGAGGCTTGAGATACTTGGCTACTCTTGGAAGTAAATCACATTCCTGCGTTGCTGAATATCTGCGGATACCAAGACTTTGGCACCAAAGTTTCTGGGTGCATGTTAAACTATGAGGTGCAGCAAGATCTCCAGTAGATCTGGTAACAGTAAAAGTCATTTTCCAAAGAGGAAGGCAAGGGAAGACCAAAACCTGACAATAAAAATAGGAAAAGCCGGGTTTGAGAAGTAGCAGAATCATCGTTCGTGTGTGTGGATTGCCAAGTCGTGGGCTGTGGATTTCCTATTTAGGCAGGTCCACACCTTTACGTACCAAATCGCCAAGCTATCAAATGATTTAGGGTTTAGGGAGATCTACGGGATTACTCCTATAGTCCGTAATGCTTTCTGATTTGGCTATAAGCCTATAATGCTTCTTACACCTCTGCCCGCCGTCCTCGGTGACTCGGCGATTCTACTTTAGCGGTGTTTTGGCTGTGAGTAGGAAATTCATTTTTATCCTTACGGTAACAACATTCATAAGTCTACGCATCAAGCGTTTCCTATTCTCACTATCGCATTCTTACTGCGTATTTACAACCCTTACTAGCGCGTTATTCTGCCTTAAATCCAAGTACTTTTTAACTTTGAAAGACTAGTACTTTTATACAAGTTGAAAATACGTGTATCAAGGTACTTAAAGATATCCGCATTAATAGCGAATTGCAAATAATCATAATTAAGATGACCTTTTCTAAACAATTATCACAAAGCGACAAAGCCACGTCAGTCTTCTCCGCACTCCTAAAACGGCATGTAAATTTACCCACTTCCTTTTTGAGTCAGTCAAAAAGCATATGAGACGATCCGGAAATAGACGATATAAAGTTACAAAGGAAGGAAGGAGGAAGCAGAAAGTCGACTCCATACGTACAAATGTAAGACCTAACGTCTCAACAACACCATCGTATCTCATACGCGCCAATTTCCCCTCTTCTATAATTTCCCGTCATAACGAGAACCAATCGCTCTGATTATCGCATCATCCATTATTAATTTCATGGCGAAGCACCCATCACTCCATATTGCATTCGCCACTGAAATGTTAGAGACGCAGTATGTCTGTTAATCCATTTTAGCAGTTTCCTCATCTTATGCGCTTCAAATCTTCGTACCTGCCTGGTTTGCTTTTTCCTGGGGGTGAAAAATCGGGATCGATGGACCGGTTCAGATATCGATATCAGTATACAAGAAACTCAGAGACAAGAAAAAACCAAACCAGGAAAGAACGCCCTGGGTGCACATCCTGTCACAATCACTCGACGATACCCCATAATCCCAGTAGCTCTGTAAGGGTACAGATTAAGTGAATACGGTATCCCTTCCAGACGCCAGAGTGGAACCTAAAGACGTGCACCCAAAGTGGAAACGATAACTGGGTCAAATGGAGGCTCAAATGCTTGGAGAGGCTGCTTGGTTGGCCAAACGACTTTGCTTTACGGGGATCCGGAAAATGTCCAAAAAGTAGCCACTTTTTCTCCACTTTGGTTGCACGCCTTTAGGTTCCACTCTGGCGTCTGGAAGGGGATATCTCGCTTAGAAAATTGTAGCGAGGCTCTAAGGGAGAGAAAAAACACGCCAATTTGCGGCAGAGGGCCACCCCATCTATAGTAACACCACACCTAAATAACGACTTTTCAATGCAACACATACAAATTAAATGGTAGAATAATACCTAATAATATGTTAGTTGTCTATCGCGATCTCTATACTCTTCAAATCTATTTGGCTAGGTTTTATATATATTTTGAATGCTTTTTTGGTCCAATTATAGTAGGGTGGCCCTGTGCCTTAAATCGGCGTCTTTTTTCTCACCCTTAGAGGCGAGGGGTAAGGAGTAGCAAAGCAAAGATATAAGCTAGGGACCTCATTGTAATATTATTATAGTAGCCAAGAACATTCTTTCTAAACTCGAAAGGAATAGTAAAAACGTTCACTTAAAGTGGATAAGTACTGTAGTACGGCATCCTAAATATACTAAAAGGCTAAATAGACTTAATACTAATTCGCAAATCGCAAATTATAAATCGCAAAAGTCATATATTTACTACTACTGTGCTAGAGTCTCTTATAGAGGTAAGTAAGGTAAGGGAGGTGAGGTGATTAGTACAGCTAGAGAAGTAGTAGGGACTTGGAGGGATGGTGGTTAAGCGAGATAGGTATCATAAGGATTTTTACGTTCATATGTAGCTAGGTACATGTACATGGGACTAGATCTTTATATTAACTTATTGAATTAATGGCACTCAGAAGTATCTTATTGTGGTAGATTTACAAATTATGTTTTCTTTATATATATCCTTATCGTAACTTCCTTGATCCCTCTCCCAAGAAAAGAAAATAACAACCTATCCCAAACTCCACGCTAAGCACCAGTGACCAAATAAACCATCCTCTCATCCCACATACAATCTTACACCACCCTCGTCACACCCCTAAAACCCATTATCCCCAATCCTACACCATAACCCTCCTCAACCCCTCCGTCCCACCCAGGACCCTCCTTCCAGTAACCGCACACCTTCCCCTCCCACTCTCCCACTTCCCCTCCCTCCCTGTCATAAACCCCTCCTGTATTTCATGATTCCCCTCCATCCATCGATGAATACACGTATAACAGAACACAAAGCCCGTCTGACACGCTGTCGGCGTGACAATCTCCTGTTCACAGATGGGGCAGAGCTCCGAGTTCTCCGGGATAGGAACGGTGAAGATGGGGAGGAGGGAGACTGCCGCGATGGGAGGATTGCGTGCTTCCTTTTTGGAACATGCTTTTTCGGGTGGTGGTTCGGAGGTGTTGGTGGATTTTTGTGTTTGGGATGAGGATGAGGAGGATGGTCCGAAGCGAGTTGATAGGGTTGAGAGGCCTGATATGACGGGAAGTGGTAATTCAATCCCCTCCCTAGCCTTCTTCCCCAGCTGTCGAGCGAAATCACTAGCATACCACCACTCCAAGAACTTGAGCGCAAAGATACTAGTCGGAAGCAAGATCTTCAAACTACCCAGCGCCCTCTCCCCCAACACCCTCGGATGGAATATACTACTCACCCCCAAATTCCCACCCTTCGCAGCCCCTCTCGCCTCCTCCACCTCCGCCATCGCCCTATAATCCTCCGCCCCAAGCCTCCTCATCCTCGTCCCAATCATCCAAAGAAACGGACTATGAAACCTCGAATCATCAAAAAGATACGCCAGGTTAAACAGCAAAATCGAGGCGTAATACACCGCGTTAACACCGGGATACACATTCCCCAAAAACCACCGGTAATAATGCACCATCCTCTGCTTGAACGTCGGATTCAACGGCATCCGCGTATAATTCCCACCCAACAACGCTCGCGGAGCATTAACCTCATACCCCTCATCCAACCGCCTCTTCATATACGGCACACCCACCATAAACAACAAATTCCACCAGATGTCTCGCTCCCCCAGCTTCAACGCATCGCGAACATGTCCCGCGGCCCCTAGACTCGCGCGGGGGATCTCGCCCACCGCCAAAGCACGCTCGCGTTTTAACCCGTAGAAGTTCTCGACGAATCCACCGCCAGTTGTTTTGAGGTAGTGGCGTTCGACGACGAGCATGCAGAGGGCGTAGATCTCGTCGAAGGAGTTGAGGATGCGAAGGAGGTAGCGTGGGTGTCGGTGTGTTGCGACGGTTAGGAGGTAGCGGAGAGAGGGGGGGAGGAGGGCGGAGAGCTGGGTTTCGGAGAGGAGTTCGAAGAGGGAGGGTTTTTGGGGGTCGAAAGTTGACCGGAGGTCGGTCATGAATTCCATTTTTGAATGTTGGTACCTAGGGAGTCCTAGGTAGAGGAGAATTGAGGTGGTGATGGAACTTGAGCGATGTGAAGCTGGAGCTTAATCTCTGGGGAAGGTTAGAAATTTGGACCGAGGTACGATCATGAGTCACGTGATTCGTATGTTTACGTCCAATTGACCTAGGTTGTTCTCTTTCATAAGATATCTAATAAATGAACTACAAGAGCCTTCAAATCAAATCTACATAAGCAAATGAACCCCTTCTTCCTACGCTCTCGGTACCTCAATAAGCATTTATCCACCCGTACAGCTCATACACCAATACTCTACTTATACCTAGCTGGTCGAGCTGGTACAGCTTCACCACACCTCGTCTCCTCATCCATCACTCACAAGCACAACATACATCCTTCCCAAGTGCCATAGCAGAATCCTGAACACCCTCTCCCCCATCCCAGCATCATCAAATCACAAGAAACATTTTCAACAGTATCTATCCAATATTCCAGAACTTAATATTCCACTCTATGGTAATGCATTGCCTATCAAATGACACCACGCTACACTACACATGATATTCCAAACAAGAAACCGGAATAGAACAAATCCATCGCTCGCCAAACACTCCATTGCATTCCATTCCAACCCAGACCAATCAATCAGCTTTGATGGCGCTATTCACAATAAATTAGCAAGGCTTCAAAAGTTTAGAGATCGACGAGAAGCGAGAGAAAAGGGGGTGGGTCAAGGGAGAAGAAGGGAAAAGAGAGGCACATACCCATAAATCCTCCTAACAAAAGCATAAGCCGTCAAAAACCCGACCGTCCCACAAAGCAACCCATAAACACAACACGCCATAAAACAATACCCAAAGAACAACAACCCACTAACAAACCCCTCAATATGTAACTTAACAAAGTAATACCACGCACAATACCCAAAAACCCACACCGAACTCGCACCACCCACAAAGAAAGAATGCCACCACCAATTATAGTCTTCACTGCAGAGCTTAATATAGATCGTTACGATGGTGACTTCGGCAATGGTAAGGATCAGGATGATGGAGACGACAGAGAGGAATCCGAAGACGTAGTAGTACCCGGATTTGTCTTGCCAGAGCGATTGGAAGACGTATAGAAGTTCGATGAAGATGACTGCAAAGGGGATGAGGCCAGCCAGGAGGATGGATTGAATGGGTTGGATGTACCATGGTCGAGCAGGTAATTGGCGGTGGAGAGTCGTGGTTTTGGTGGGGTGTTCCCATGCTCCTGTGCGAATGTAGCCGTACCAGGATCCAATGTATACGAGTGGGAGTTGAATGCATAGCCATAGCATGATAATTGCAACCAAAGTTCCGAATGGCAAGGCGGTGGACGACGCTTGAGCCCAGACAAACAGATTGAGGATAAATACCAGAGCGAATAATAGTCCTGGAAAGAGAATTGATGTGATGAGGGTATTCTTTCTCCAATTCTTGCCACCGAAAGTTTTATAGACTCGACCGGAAAAATATCCAGAAAAGAGACCGGCAAAGACGAAGAGTCCAACTCCAACACTGACAAAACCACCCCGGAAGCTAGGATTCAATATACCTAAGCTGCTGAGAAATAGTAATCCCACAGCCATAAAGACCAATTGCATTCCAGATCCAACGAGCGGTGCCAAAAGATAACCATAAGCGGGAGCGCGGAACACATCGCCATGTAGCAACTTCCATCCTGTGACATCTTCCAGAGCTTCCTCATCAGATGAAACATCGGCATCATTATTGTCATCTCCTACCTGTTCGAGTAACCCTACCATAGCCTTCTCTGCGAGTTTTGGTGTCCGTGCTCCACTTCCTGGTCGGGATCTTCTCTTTAGTTTGGATTTGCCGTCTTCCAAAGCGGATTCTTTGTACGTCTTAATATCGCCTCGAATGGTTCTCGCAAGAATCATAGCCACAATCGCGCTCAAAGATCCGGAAATAATCAATGAATTGACAATTGCAAGCCAGTGTATTCTGGATCCTTCCTCTTGATTGACAAAATACAGATCCCATCGATGTGCCCACTCAATCTTGTCGTCTTCACGCCAGTAAACCGAATATGTGTAGGGAATATCCAACGTTGCCCCGTCATCTCCATCTAACTCGGTTTCAGGAGGAGAGTATGAAGATTGAGAATATTGCGAGGAGAAATCAGTCGAATTCGGCTTGATGTATAATTCCATTGGCGTCTCGACTTCGCTCAAATCCTCGGGACACCCATCCTCCAACCTCTTCTCCGGACCCACACTCTTCGTGTATACTTCAAACGCAACCACCACTTTACCACCCCTTTCGCCATCCTTTGCAGGTGCCTTTCGGTAGCGAATGACGATGGTCAGATGATTGTTGATATAAAATCGATGTTTCCCGGAATTTATTTCAATGTCCTTGTACCCCATTTTGAATCCCGCTGCGTAGTACTTTCTCGATTTATCCACCGTGACGAAACTCGTAGCTCCCGGCAGATTGTCGACAATCCATTCTGCCACATATCCACCGCGTACCATTTCTCTTGCTCGTCTCAAGTCTTTTCTTGATATCGTCTTTGTGCAAAGGGCATTGCATGTCTGGTCTTTTCCCATGACCAATTCGATATCGGATTGTGTTATTCGATCACCTCGTAGCACCTCGCCCAAGTTCAAAGATATACTCTGCCCACTCAACAGCGAAGACCCGGCGTGGGAAGCCCCGGTTGGTGGACATATGAATGGAAGGTCGTAGTATGCATACTGCAATTGTGTATTATCCGAGTAAACTTTGTTAACCAGTAGTGGAATGGCCTCGCCATCTTTATAACTCTTGACGGACCAGCCTGGAGGTGATCAGTCATGGCTCGGTCTTACGATTTCTTGATGATTTACCTGGGATATAAAATGCTTCCGCACATGAAGAGGCCAGCAATAAAAATAGGGACCTCCGTAATGCCATTGCTGTGGTTTATTTACTGTTGGTGGGATATCGGATATTGCATGCCCAAGATCTGCCACTTCCAGTCCACCGTCGGATCGTTGGATGGACGAGTCTGATGTGCTGCTATCGAGGAGAGTAGAGTGATTTCTCTGGTTTGAACGAAAGAGGGGATGACGAAGCACGGATGAGTGGCTTCGTGTTGTTGTGGCTGATCTGGTCAGATATTCGCGTTCTCGACAGACAGGATAGGACAAGGCGGAGGTTAACGAGTGTAATCGGCACAAAGTACCTAGGTAGCCGATGCGATAGTGTGGAGGTTTGGTTGGGATCAATCGTGGATTCTGCAGCAGAAGAGTGCTCGATTGAAACTCCGCGACGGCGAATTAATGGTGGTGGTGTGATCACAAGACGGTGGTGTTTGGGTGTTGTCCTCCTAGAAGTACAGTAGAAGTACAGTAGAGGCGCAGAAGGGCAACGTATGCAGGGCACGGCACTTTTTGCGGGTTGACGGGGCTGTTGGAGACCTGGAATGGCCTGGAAGCAGGGTTCCTAGCTTGTTCTAGTGGTCCTTCGGGGCATCAGTTACAGGCACCAACGGCTAAACTGCTGGGGTCGAAAAGGGGTTCCGGGGAAATCGGATCCACCCCGTCGTCTTCATTATTTTCGTACCAATTTACACGTCATCGGATGTTTACTTGGGGTTGTCTACTTGTTCGCTTCGATGGCCTTTCCCCTATCCGCCTCGCATGCCTTCTGAGCTTGATCGAAAAGATCAGAATATGGGGAATAGGATGAACAGAAGACATCGATACTTTTTGTTTCATATGAAGTCGTCTTCGTTAGGATTAATCTATTGTCTGCCGAATTCGTGAGAGGTACGAGTTTGAATAAACCTCTCACACACCATTCCGCGCAAAAACACCTCGGTCTTCTTACTCCCCCTCAGCAAGCGCAATACAACTAAACCTCAAATCCCCACCACCACTCCTCTTCTCCATCTCCATCACCCTCCCCAACCCCATCCCAACAGCCTTCTCACACAAAACATCCTCCCCCTCCCCCAACTCCCCCCTCACAATAGGACCCATCCTACTCCCCTCCAACTCCCAAAGCTTCCCCTCACTCTTCACAAACGCCACAAAATGCTGTCCCAACCTCTCCCCATCACTCGCACTTACCGGCCTCGTATCCCCCATCTCCGCAACTCCCTGATGCGCCACCGCAAACTCCTCATTCTTATACAAAAACCTCGCTCTCTCCTCCATCCCCAGCGGTATCGCACCCTCTCTAATCCTCGCCAGGGTGCTACCATCAAGAATATGATTTTTAGCTTCACCGTTGAGTAGACAATGCAACAAGCCGATGGAACCACACGCATGTCCGATCGTTTGCTTGAACCAGATTACTGGCTCGGTTGGGCCGGCACCGGTGTATTCTGGCGTGTTTGCATCTTCGGCGATGCGGGAGGCGTGCCAGGAGGGGGTTAGTGGGATGATGACGAGGAGGGCGAGCACGGGACGGGGGATGAGTGAGAGGAGGGAGGGGTCGGTGAGAGTGTAGATGTCGTGGAATTTGAGGCGGGGGGAGAGTCCGAGTTGGAGTGCTAGTGCGTTCATTACTTCGGGGTTGTTTTCTGGGTTGTTTTGTGAGTATATGGTTTGGATGGTGGGGAGAGGTATGTAGATACATACCGAGGACCGTAAAGGTCTTTTTTCCGTCGATGTATTCTACTGGGATTGGCATTTTGGATGATTGGATTGCTCAAGATTCTTGAATCTCTCGAAGTCTTGGGACGATGGAATCCATAGAGTGGTTTGCGAGAGAGTTCAAGTTGGTAGGTAGGTCATATGGTGAGTAGGCAGCTTTGGATCACGAATTCTCGTCAGCCACTGTGGCTGAACTTCTGGTTTGTTCCTTCCCTTCACTTCAATCATGTTGTCTGTCTCCAAGCGAGTTGAAACCCGTAGTCTAGATATTTCACTCAGAGTTCTATTCTTTCACATTCCATACAATATCTCATACCTTCCTTGTCTTGATCCAACCAATCTTCCAAAAATCCAGAATGTTCCAAGCATCGTTATGTACCCGCAAAACAACCATGACCTCGCTAATTTTATATCCTATTCTCTCTCACAAATAATATATTCACGGGGATCCAAATATGTAAAGATACGTCTATATCTGTTTGTCCTGAAGCTCTCATGGCTTCTTCCGTGTATTATTAAGGAATTCAATATGCTGGACTCTGCTAGACGCTTCCATAAAAATCTGTCTGGTAAAGTCTTACGACGAGGGAATTCCTAGTTCAATCTTGACTTGATTCAATAACACAGTAAGATCACTTTGTATATCCACGAGTATACCACAACCTCTAAACCCCCTTCATCTTATATACAACAAGACCTCCATCTCCACATGAAAAACAGCATCTCGGACCTAGGCTCTATCTTGAGAAGTTAAGAAATGCATAGATGGATGACTTGTTACAGATTCTCTCCTTGTACAGTACTTATAAATGCTGATCCCAGCGTCCATACGGGGAATGGTTGGATGGTGGGAGATGTAATTTATAAAGGTGTTGGGGGGGTGTATTGTGTAATGTAGTTCACGAGAATATGTTATTTGAAGAATTGTCTTATAGGTGTGTGATAGAGTGTAGAGTGTTGTGACCTACTCGATAACTTACAACTTACCTTCTTGGGGGGGGATGGAAGGGGGACTGTTGAATCATTTTTTTCTTGCGAGGTTACAAGTATAACACTTCAGGATTCACGAATAGTTGTTTCTAACGATCAAGTCAGGCTCCAAGTTCCAACGAGACACATCGCGACGCCTCTGGAGAGGAGGAGTGTAAAGCTGGTAGCTCTTACATATTTGAATCATATCTACTAACCTATATTTCATCATTTATCTCAGAAGATCCTTGGTCTTAATCGCAAATTTCGATTCATGGGGCATATTCATTTAAAAAATCTTCATAAGCGTGTGTCTGCAAACAAGCTGAGAGTCACTTTGCAAGCTATACAGTACAGTACAATATCATGAAATCTCAAGATTCAAATCTACTGTGAGCTCGAGTACCTTGGCCGACTCATAATTATTTACCAACCCTCTTGAAAGTGGCAGTGTTGCGATTTCGTAGGGATACTACTAGTAGTCCTAGTAGTAAATTTAACTACAAATAAGATCCTATAAGGGAATAAGAGTGGGAATAGCTGTTTCTGACGCAGCCTGTTTCGGGTTTCTTCCATGATCTGATACGTAGACCTTAATCATCACGGACAACCACCGTGGGTATCCAAAAAGATGTGGGTGAAGAGAAGAAACGTTGGAGAGGATTCTTGTGAATGCGAATACGTTGTTGGTATCAATGGTGATTCCAGGTGTAGATAAAGGTCCTTAGGGGTTGAGAGTGTCAAAGTGAACTGATTGTATTGTTGATATAGCTGAGTATTGTATTGGATTGTAATGTATTGCTAGATTTTCAGAAACCTGGGTGTAGAGGTGTAAAAGGAGAAGGAATGGTAATTTTGAATTGTAGTCATGTTTCTTTGACATTACATGTCCAAGTAGATATACTAAGGAAGACAGTAAATCTTCCTTCAGTATTGAAGTCTGGTGTTTTGTTCCTTTGGGATATAGATTCATGTTTTTGTGGATTTATTCGTTACTGTAAGAGGAATTTCTGTAAATTACTAGCTACCGAATTAGTTGTATCATATCTAAACCTTTAAACTCCTTTCTTTTCTAGCTTGAACACTTTCTCTAAATCAACAGACTTAACGATCAAGATGGCATCTTTTCTGAAAAAACAGTAACATCCAGATTAACTACATCGGAATCAATAAAATTAAGCTTGAAATAATCTTACCTGTCCGAGCTTGCTTCACAGTGCTTAAAACTCCATTGTCTAGGTAGGGCATACTTGGGCTTATAAATGGGTGTCTCTCAAAATCAAAATCCTCCTCGGCGATCGGAGTGAAGGAGTTTTTTTATGTTTTGGTTCCCAAACGTTTATGACATAAGAACGGTGGAGGATCACTTCTTTTTGTGTAAGAGACCCATAGAGCAAGAGCGTAGCAGTAACGCAGAGCAATCTCTTGGAATGACTTCAACGAATCTACCGAGAAAAAGCGTTCGGGATGTGAAAAAGGATTGCCTTTATTAACTCGAAAGACCCTAAAACTTTCGAAGTCGCGATTCAAGAGACAGACCACGGAAATATCTTCCGATAAATGATTGAAAAGATTAAATGCCACCGCTTGCTGTGGCAATTGCGTTCCCCCAGAAGAGTGCTGGCGAGGATTTCATTCAGAATTTTAACATCACAAAAAGGTATATTGGCCAGGGAACAAAGCAATCCTGGTAAGCTGGAAATAACTTTTGACTTTTGTCGTAGAACACCTCGAACCTTGATGGTGAAAGAACGAAAGGCTTAATTTGACTACCATTGATGTTCTTTTCTTAGGTTGGATGTTCGAGAAGACTTCTAGAACGAAGTCGATGAAAGAGAATCAGAAATCTTTGTTCACGCGGCTACGCCTTTATATCCTCAACTTTGCAATTCTTTCTTTGACACGCTTCCACATTTCCTCGATGGCATTCGGTCATCCCGTTGATATTATTCTGGAATTAAATAATGGTTGGCCAAATATAGACTCCGAATCTAGGCGCCTTTTCCGAGTCTCCCTTCTAAATCAGGGGGTGATGATATCCCCGAAAATCTGCAACCCTTTCCCAAGCAGGCAGAAATCGGAACATGAATGGATTAATAGTCATATGCACGTAAGAAAAAATACGAGAGTCCGAAATAATGCTTGCGATTTTATGTTCGTGTACCTGCAGATATCGTGCCATTGGCTGTGACTTCCACGTGCTACCGCTTACCTCCCAAATGAGGAAGGTGCCAATGTATTTCCACCAACAGATTGGTTGAGATAGCCAGCTTACCACAAACTTAGCATCTTACGCTCTACTTCTGCATATGCAACACCGTTCTTCAGCGGCGTAGCAGTACCAACAGAAAAACACGATATGCAGGAACAATTTGTACTAACATTCCAATATGACCAGAAAGAAAACCCCGCAAAGAATAGCAAACGTGTGTGACAGAGAACGTTTAGTAAAGATGACTCTACCCCTCTGTACTCCACACGGTGGTGCTTCCTAGAAAAGAAACTAGTAACGTTTCTCAACTAAAGAAGGACTCCGACCTCAGCATGAGGGGATGAATCGGATGATATTGCCATGTCATCAAATGACCATAGTACACCGCCAAACGCTCAAGTGATGAATATACAACTGTGTTGAAGACTGAAGTTCGATTACAACGGCTAGATACTCCCAGCGGGTATTCAAAAAGATGTTATAATGTCCATGACAATGATGCCGATACGGCAGGGCGGCCGGCTAGTTCCAGCCACACAGAGAGAAAAAAGAACTTCAACAATGGCACCTAGGGTAGGGATATCTTTATTGATTCGCTCCTTTTTCCCACCACAGCCTTCATCCCTATTTTCGTTCTGCAGTGTAACAAGGTACAATACTGCCACGACATGACCACGCTCCTTGCATACCCCAAATGGTTGTACATTTTTCGGCTCAGCTCGGGTGTCGCTTAACTCTCAAGCTTTACCTATCAGACTCACTTTTACCTATCAGACGTGCTCACTGCAACTGTAAAAATTGTCCGAGATCCCTAAGCCTATCAGTCAATGGTCTTGTATAATCCCTGGTGGAGTGATAGCTCTAATTTCCACAGCAGCGACTTTGTAGACCATTGAGGGTGACGTAGGTGCTGTGATTGGCTGACACTTCCTTGTTGGTGATCTTTCAGGGGTGCTTGCTGATAATCACAAAGATTGAGTATGCCTCTACCAGATAGCTTGCAGCGATTGTCATTAATAGACGCCCCGTAATTTCTCCACATGGTATATGGAGTCGCCCTGTCCCCCTTGCACTCCTTCCCCCTCAGACCATAACTCACTTTCAATTTTCGTCTATACGCTACTGTCTTTTCTGTCACTTTACTTCACTTCATCCACCATCTTCTTTCTTTAAAGCAGTCTTTTCTTCCCATACAAAACCGCACACCATGCGCACATTCTTTCTCATCCTTGGAGCGTTGGCTCTTACAGTTAATGCAAATACATATCCTGATTGCGTAAGTGAAAGTTCTTCAAACTGATCTTGAAAAAAGTGACTAATGAATACTTCACTTTCAGGAGCCAGACAATTGCTATAGAGCATTGACTCCCAATAGTAACCCAGAAGTCCTCGCCGCAGCACCTGCTTTCTGCAAAAGCTTTTTGAGTGGAGTTACCACCACTACTGCTGGACTTCCAGACTATGTGTTCAACTGCTATAATGAGCAACCGTTGAGTTCGGGAATATCTGCGATAAGCTCGGCATGCTCTTGCATCACTTATACAGCAACCCATACTGCTTCTCCAATCACCAGCTCAACATCCGTGCCTGCGACGACAACTTCTTCAAGTGAGACTCTGTCAAGTAGCTCAGTTCTCACATCATCTAGCACCCCATCAAGCACACCACCATCATCCACGCCTGCTTCAACCACTTTCTCCTCTACTAGCTCGTTGGAAACCCCAAGTTCGTCAAGCGTTCAGAGCTCGCCCTCTTCATCCACATCTAGCGAGTATTCAACTTTCAGCTCTACCTCGTCAGCGCCTGGCTCTTCCTTCTCGACTCTGAGTGCTCCGTCCTCGACGTCTAGTTTCTATTCTTCTTCCCCAATCAGCTCTTCCTCTTCACTAGCTACCTCGTCATCTTCTGCAGTCGGGTCTTCATCTTCAATTATTAGCTCGTCCTCTTCTACGGCAAGCTCTACTTTGAATTCTGCAGTATCCTCCTCGTCTAGCGAGAGTTTGACAACATCTACGGTTACAGCAACTCAGACTTATACAATTTCCAGCTGTGCTCCAACCGTGACAAACTGCCCATATACGACCAAGCCAGTCGTTACTAGTTCTGTATCCACCTACACTACTATCTGCCCTGTTTCTTCTACGCACGCCCCAAGTAGCCCTGTTTCTTCTCGGCCGATCCCAAGCATCTCAGTCAGCGGTGTTTCTAGTAGCGAAAGTTTAACAACGAGTGTCATTACTACGACTCAAGTCTACACAATCTCTAGTTGTGCCCCAACCGTTTCGGATTGTCCATACACCACAAAGCCGGTCGTCAGCAGTACTATTGGTACCTATACAACGATTTGCCCAGTCACTTCAACGCCTTCGCCAAGTTCTAGCCAACAATCGATCACCAGCGTTATTACTACGACCCAGGTCTACACAATCTCCAGTTGTGCTCCAGCAGTGTCAAACTGCCCTTACATCAGCAAGCCTGTAGTAACGAGTGCTGTTAGTACATACACTACAAGCTTCCCGGTTACTCAAACTCCTCTCCCAAGTTTCAGCCAACAATCAATTACCAGTGTTACGAGAACTCAAAGCTACACGATTTCTAGCTGTGCCCCAGGAGTATCCAATTGTCCGTACACCACCAAGCCTGTAGTGAAGAGTGCTATTAGTACATACACTACAAGCTTCCCGGCCACTCAGACTCTTCCTCCAAGCTCTAGTGAACAGTTAACTACGAGTCTTATTACGACGACTAAAGTGTATACGATTTCAAGCTGCGCTCCCACGGTCTCAAATTGTCCATATACCACAAAGCCTGTCGTTACGAGCCTAACGAGTGTTTATACGACAATTTGCCCTGTTACTCCTTCGCCAACCCCAAGCATCGCACAGTTGACGACGAGTGTGATTACCAACACAAAGATTTACACCATTTCAAGCTGCCCATCAACAGTCCCCAATTGTCCATACACCACGTCACCTGTCGTTAGCAGCTCGATTTCTGTCTATACTTCAACCTTCCCAGTCCCAAGCTCGCCTCCTCAGCTGACGACTGCTGTTTTTTCAAGCACAATTACTTACACCATCTCTTCATGCCCACCAGACGTAAAGAACTGTATATACACAACCCAACCAATAACCACCACGGCGGTCAGTGTATATACATCAATCATCCCAGTCGAGACGCCTGTCGTCAGCTCTGCGAGCCCCGTGAGCTCCACGTCTACAATTTACGGTACAAGTACATACCGAGTCACATCGTGTGCACCAACCGCATCGAACTGCGTCGTTGGATCCATTCTCGCAGTCTCGACTTATCCCCTTACCACGACGATTGTAGTTAGCTCGCCTATTTCTACGGTGACGGCTACGCTTCCACATGGAGATTCCAAAGTTACTCTTACATACAAAGCCCCAACCTCGGTTATCACCAGTGCTGGGAGCCAAGGGACTGGAGTGCAGCCTCCGCAAAATACCGTGCAGCCTTCGCAGACTACATCTGCGCCTCCTCTCGAGGTGACTGGCGCTGCGGGCCGAATGGGAGTTGAGAAGATGGCTGCTTTTGTGGGAATTGTTGCTTTTGTTTTGTGAGGGAATTGAATCAGGGGTAACTAACAGGGAGAATTATAAATAATGCATTTGTTATATATATTTCGTTCATGATTATTATGGGATGCAAGGAAATGCAATGGATACAGTAATCAGAGTTAGAATTAAATAATGAGTTTTGAACATGATATAAATGCGGATTCCATTTTATGCAATAAAGTGATGCTCTACAGTAAGATTTACCTGCCTGGCTTTTCTTGAGAAGACATTTAAAGTTGGATTTGGATCTAACCTCACATTCAACCTTGCAAGGTCAAATTCGCGTCACAAGAAGCCCCGATTATCAAATGGGAGGCTTGCTGAAGGGCTTGACTTGAGATTTGATCCAAATTAGGATTCGTTTTCCTATGCCGAGAGGGGGGTTTCAGCCACAGCTAAGGCAGGGGCAGGGATTTTGTTAAGACATCTAGAAAAACAAAGACAATGGGGAAACCACCTTCCCGAACAATATCTTTGTTTGGATAAGAAAACCCAGTCTGCTAATCTATGGCTGGAATTAATCTCCCGAGGTGGAAACCACCAAAAAAGGGCTAACCCTTCCACCTAATGCGCACACGTCATATGAAATCCTTCCCATAAATCTTCTCCCCTAGAACCCTCAACTTCATCGGCATCATCTCATCACCATGATGGTGAAAAATCCGAGCCTTTCTAGCACTCTTGTAAATAGAGCTGTAATCGTCCCTCTGATTTCCCAAATCCACACACTCCCTTCTGGATGCACTAACCCACCATTGTGGCAAGAGGTCCTCCCTACTTTCCGCCAAATCCAAGAACGTTGCAAAATCCCTTTCTGTTCCACCAGCTACCTTGGAATTGGCACCCATGTATTCACCTCCATACATAAGCTCATGATCACACGTCAGCCGAAAACAATCAATGAGTAGGATGAAAAGGTCTTTCTTCGATAATCTGTGGAGGAATAAATTGATTGGGGGTTCAGGGAGTTGATTGGCCATTGCAAAACCGCTGTTATGTCGTCCTGGTGGAATAAATGCAAGTGCTTGTGCACTGTTGGCGTTGGCTGATGATCCACACACCTTCTTATGGGCTTTCCAATCGCTTTTTTGACATTCGCGGGTGCAGTATTTTTTCTTACGGCATCTGGCGCAAGTTTTGAGGGGCGTTTCAGGGGTAGCTTGTTTGTTGCAGTGTCCGCACAGTGGAAAGATTGGGTTGACATTTTCGGGTGTTTCTGAGTCCGTTGGGAAGGGGGTAAATTCGATGGGGTCTGGAGGATGGTCTATGTTTATCCTTTGGATTACGTGCTCTGTGCAACTTGATTTTTAGCGAAAGAAGACTTAGGGGAGTAAATGCGAAGACCTTGTAGAAAGCCTGGAAAGGGGCTGCAAAGAACTTGTTGAAAAATATGTTTGGAATGGCAAGAGTGCCAGGATTATTGGTAAAAGAGTCGAATTCAGAAAGTTGATAAACTGATTAAATGTGGCAAGAGCCATGGATATGTAACCCTGGGTTATGCCCCTCCTTTGTTGTAGGTACCTAGGTAGTACTTTCCAAAATTAAGCGGTAAACGAACCAGCTTCTGTGCGGTTGAAGCCACTACCTAGGTAATCAGAGATTCCGACAACAGAACTCAATTCTCATTCATGGTATCCAACCTACCTGAACTAAATCCTTTCGCCAGCTTTGGATGTCAGTGGATTAGCCATGTGTAAAAACATGGCAGGGTGATGGTTGCAGCAGAAACTTGAACCATCCAATACACCAGGCACCTATTTATACCCTAGCTCTATCCACATCACTGAACCCCTGCTCGTAAAGGTGGTGCGGGATAGAACTCCTAGGTCTCGGGAATGGAAACCAACCTTTGAGGCAGGTCACCTGACATGTTGACGATGATACTTTTCAATCATTTGCGCTCCCCTGAAAGTTTGGTCAAAGATTATTGGGTATCATATATGCAATCCTCTATAATTGAACTGATTTTCCCAAACTCATCAGTTAGTATCAAAAGTTTCCGGGGGTTTCGGGTCTCCATGGTTTTGCCAACCTATATAGATACTTACGGCCCAACACTCAAAAGACCATCCTTCACAGCCTTGAAACTCTCTCTACATACTATTGTCAAAGTCGCATAACAGTAAGCAGAACGATGGAAATAAAGAAATGATATTACTTGACTATTACTTGCTAGTGATTCACAACAAGTTCCTTTCTCCTGGTCGATCATCCTTTGCCCCTTGACATGTATGATACATCATTGGTATGCTCCCTAGTACAGAAATTACACGTTTTGGTCAACTTGTATGCCTCCTGCGTCCTTGAATAATCCCTGTGAAGACCCTATTTTTCTCATTATTCGCACTCAAAATCGCAGTCGCTAAGCTTCTCATATTCAGGCTCAGAATCCGTATCACCGTCCAGCAAGGAGGAAATCTCATCCATGTGCTTTTCGTGGACGTTGAGAACTGGACTTGGAATCTCCTTCAAAATTGTCTCGATCTTGTCGTTGATGTTGGTCTTAAGACATTTTCCGGTGGCCCTTTCTGTCAAAAGTAATGATCTGCAGACTCAACAAGTTGCTGGCCAACTCGTTGATGCTCATTGTGATGTCTCCTGCCTTTCTCTCGGGCCAGAGACCCTGGCCTTTTAGTGCGAATACAATTGAGCCCCATGCCATTGCGTCGCATTTCTTGTTTCCCTCCTTGCAAATTGTGGTATATTTATCCATATATGAATTCGTATACTCGTACCATACATCCAACAATGCCTGGATGACAGCAGCTCGGGTCGTCTTAATGCTCTCTAGAACTCACATTAGCGTTTTAGTGTAATATTGACATAATACGAGAGCTATACTTACCCAAGATACCTTCTGGCATGGGGTCAACGAACTGCTTGGAAGTGCGGGTAAGCAATTAATCTTCACTGACCGTGGCATTCTTGACCATGTTGATGGCAAGAGTAGCAAAGGTCTCGTCTCGGCCGAATACATAGGCAATATAGAGCCAATTTTCTCGATTATCATAACTCGGCTCGTAATCTTCACCATCAAGCCAGCCCAAGAGGAAAAGCTCAACGAGGGGAACGCAGTTATACTTATCACAAATCTGGGCCATAGCCAACAACTTGCGGTATGACAGCTCGCGTCGTGGGACTGATCGGAACTTCAAATGGATGATGTTGAGTATAATGAGCAAGGTTGCAGCATCATCCTTGGTGAAGTCTAACTCTTCGACAACTTTTGGTGGCTCATTCTCATTCTCAGAATGTGTAAAGACCATGGTCTTGAAGACAGGTCCTCCAAGGCCCATGGACTGAGAGCAAACCTTTCCTCCAAATGTGGTATCATCCTTGCGCGAGACACGAATTTTGATATCTCCTCCTGGGGAATCGAAGTCTGCCTGGCAGAGGGTTGGCTTTCTCGGTCGAGCCATTTGCGTAATCGGAAGTAACTCGATGGGTTCCTCACCGTTTCGTGGGACACGCTCTACGAGGTCGTCGTCCGTGAAATTTAGTGTATTATCGACAGGGCCTGCCATCTGGTATATTGAGATAGTTCTCTATATGTTGTAGGAAGGTTCTTGTTGAAAGAGAAAAGGTTGTTATTAGTCGCGTGGATGAAGGAGTGGCGCAAGCAAAAGATGCTTCTGATATTTTTGTGTGGCAGAAGGAGGGGAGATGGCTGAGTTATTTGTACGCCCATCATACGCCCCTTAGAGTATGATGCTTCATTCACTACAATATTGCCCCGCGCCTGGTCTGCAATTTTACTCATTCTCTCGATGTTTCCTTGTCTGGTGGAGCTTGCCCCTCATCTGTGTCATTGGTTTAGGCCGATATTTCCCGTGAACATATTGATTCATTTCAGTAGTGAATTTGTCTGTAGCTCTATAGAGCTGTTAATTCACCAAGTAACTACAAGTATTCACATGCTACTTAGTTCATGCAGTTGCCGCGGATCGCTAATAGAATGGCTTCAGGAACAAATGAGTTACAGCGGGTATCAACATGCCGTATCACGTATTTCAAATTTTTAGTATTATTATTATTATTATTATTCCTTTTAACGTGCTGTGTGAGTCTGAGACTATAGTAGCACGGCTGGGGGTTTCCCTCCAACAGATGAGTAAAGCTGTACTAAATACATGTTTGAGAAGGGGGTTATGGTCATTACAGTTCTTGGGTTGTTGGAAGCAGCTAGGCTTCTGGTTATGACAAAAGAAAAGTTGTTATGTTGTAGTACGCCCCCTCGTTTCACGCCCTGTACGCTACACTTCCTCGTTCTCGTCTTCCTCGTCCTCATCTTCCTCGTCCTCATCTTCCTCGTCCTCATCTTCGTTCTCATCCTCAGTTGCGCGTTGTGTGTGCCATATTCTAGTGGCGATTTTGGTGGTTCGAATAAAGTCAAGTGTGGCCTCGACTCCTTTGGCGGTGTGAAGGAGGGATTTCATGGTGAACTCTCGAATATGATGCTTGAGGAGGTTGCGCTTTAGTACTTTCCTAGCATCCCCAGTTTCTGGACAGCTAAGAAGGAGGTGAGTGGGAGTCTCTTGTCTTCCACATCTACAGCGGTTGTTGGTAGTGTGGCCGAGCTTGTGTAGGTATGATTTGAAGTATCCATGGCCTAGCTTAAGCTGATAAAAGGCGCTGGCTATCTCTCTTTTTGTTCCTTGGGGGACGCAAGGTTTCGACAGAATCTTCCATGGGAATTCCCTTCGATACGAGTGTTGGTTAGTTGATGGTTCTGTGTGCCGGGGGGGTGTAGTAAGCTTTTGACGCCATTCTTTGTTCTGGGTCTGCCTGATCTTGACTCCTAGCATAGCAAAGCTAGTGAGTTGAGTGGATGGTTGGATTGTGGTGGCGGCTTTTGCAAGCTTGTCTGCTTTCTCATTTCCTGGAATGTCGGTGTGACCTGGTACCCAGTGAATTGTGGTAGTAGCTCCCTTGCTAACTGCCTTCCGGGCAGCTGTGATAGCTCTGATTTGGCACTCTTGCCCTGGGTTATCTGATGTGGTTTTTAGCCTCCGTAAACCTGCCTGGTTGTCGGAGTAGATGTGGAAATGGATCCCTGGTCTAGCGTGCTTGGCAGCGTATTCAACTGCTAGCGTGGCCCCTTCAACTTCACCGTTGTAGACGAGCTTGTTTGGTCCAATGTTGACTTTCTTTTCGTAGTGGATTCTGTTTGATTGAGGTGAGATTACAGACAAACCTACCCCAATTCCTTGGCTATTTTCTGTTGTTGTAGAGGATGCATCTGTGTAGATGAAAATGCTGTTATCTGAGTTGTTTTGGAGTAGACGAAGGTGAAGTTTAGTTTCCTCTTCTTTTGAAAGTTTGCTAATGTGAACCTTGTAAGGAGTTTCTCTTTCCCATGGAGGGAAGTGGAAGTGGTGTATTTGCTCAAGGTCTTCAAGGTTGTATAAGTTGCTAATAGAGCGGTGGATTCGCTGTAGTTGAGGAGTTGCCGGCTTCTTTTTCCTTGGAGTTGCTTGAGTATTGAGGAGCTTGTCGATAGCGTGGTTGACTGGGTGTGATGGTGAGAGTTTGAGTAGACGGAAAGCATACATCCTCAAGGAGGAGGAGAGGCGAACTTCAGGAGGTGGGAGGGCGCTTTCTACTTCCATTGGGAGGATAGGAGTGGTTTTGAAAACCCCTAATATCTTTCTAATTGCAAGGTTTTGGAGTTTTTGAAGTAGAGTAGTGAATTGTGCTTGGCCTCGCCACCAGATGGTTGACCCATAGTCTGCGATACTTGTAACGCATGCTGTGTACAGCTGCCGGAGGGCAAAGGGTGTAAGTCCTTTGGAGTTGTTTGCTAGCCTTGACATCCTGAAAAATGCGCCTCTAGCTTTTGCTACCTTGGTAGCGACGTGGTGCTTAAAAGATAGTGCTGGGTCAAAGTAGATGCCTAACCACTTAATGCATTGTTTTGGGTGAACGGTTTGGTGGTTGGGGAGGTTGAGTGTGAATTCTTCTGTGTCCTTTGAATTGGTCCAGTGTATGAGTTCTGTTTTATCGAGGTCGAAGGCAATGCTGTTCTCATTTGCTAGCCTGTAGAGTTTCGTGGCTTCTGCTTTTAGTCTTTTAATGTTGTTTTTGAGGTGGCGGGAGGCTGTTGTAAGGGAAATATCGTCGACGTAGGAGATCCATGTAATTGTAGTAGACTTGAAAAGGTCGCGAATGTAGATGAGAAACAGGATTGGAGATACAGGGCTGCCTTGTGGTACCCCAGAGTTGTTAGGTGAGAACTCCTGGATTTGACCGTCAAAAGCGAGTCGTAGCCTACGTTGGTTGAGGAATGTTGATACCCATGCTATTAGGTTGGTGGGGAGTTGTAGTTCTTGGAGAATCCTGTAGAGTCGTTGCTTGGCTACGTGATCGTAGGCTCCCTTGACATCGATAAACAGGGTGGAGGCTTTCCATCCGTACTTCTTGTGATTCTTAACTTCGTTTGTGAGTAGAAGAGCAGCGTCGATGGCAGACTTTTTGAGTCTTCCCCCCATTTGTGAGGAGTGGAGGAGGT